CCAGGGCCATTGCCTTTGCCTGGATCCTAGTCTGGAGGGGAGGTTTACAACCTCTATAGACCCATATTGACATGATCTTGCTATAGTCTAGTAGCTCCACTTGACCTAAAAGTGGAATCAGTATTAGTTGGAATCCAATTCAATCCAATTCAATCTAATCCAATGCAATCTAATCCAATTGAATCTTGCTTCCCACTAAAATGTTCATTTGGTCTTTTTTCTGACATTCTGATTAACTCCCGTTGAGTACACTACAGCACTATAGCAAGATTTGCCCATCCCCTATTCCTTCTTAACGATTAGTTCTCGTCGATTGTCTCTCTATCAAGTTGATAGAACATGCCGTCAGTACCATTTTCGAAAGAGTTAAAGCATTCTGCCACACCTCAGATAGTTCTTTTAAATCCTAATACCAGGCCTACGCTCTTCTTCGTGTGCATGGGTCGTGTAAAGTGTGATTGGTCATTGCCGACCTCACCGAACAATGATATTCGGGTGGTCACATATTCTCGAATAATTCGAATTCTATGCTTTTCTTCCCGCCTGGTCATAATAATGCCTGGTTTCTCCTCATTGTTTCAAGAAAAGATCCAAGATTTAAGATTTCCGTGCTCGGGCTTCGAAGGCGTACTGGTACTACATACCGGTACCACAGAACCCAGAACACAACAGTGATGATGCAACGCTGTTGATGTTTGGTTGATGGTATCTTAGTTCTATTGTTCCAACTTAGAGCTAGCAAGTAGTAGCAAGTTACTTTGATATCCAGCACTCAATCATCATCTGGCTCATCATGAGCAGCAACAATGGTGGTTCGAATGGCAGCAAAAAGCTGGCTGCCATTGACGAACACGACACGGCAGGTCGCAATTCCATGGATTCCGTGGGAGAAAAGGATTCCCTCTTGAAGAGCAGCAGTCGCGTCAGTGATATTGCTTCCAGCACCCGTTCCACAGCATCTTCCACCGGCCGTAATAGCTACTGGACCTTTTCGTCTCATTGGCTCGACACGGCCGCCGTCAAGAGAGATAGATTCCAGAGTGAACGGGAACGGGCTGTCGACCGAGGAATTGCCAAGGCGGCTTTTTTGATCCGGGATGCTGTCATGGGTGAAAGCGAAAATCCCAGTCAGGGAACCTACGATCCCTACCAAAATCCCGAAAACAAAATCCGCAATCTACTTAGTTTGGTCTTTCGACAAATCTTGTCGTATCGGCTGTTGCGGCAACTGCTGTATGGATGTGCCTGGGGATTATCTATAGTTGGGGTGAGGCGAAAAGGACTTCGAGCCAAAATCGTGGGAGGCCATGCATGCGCCGAAGTCCAAAACGGATAGTAACGTACTGGCTAAGTAGTCTAACCACATATAGAGCAGGGCGCAACACATGTTAACGACTAGTAAGAAGAGAAGTTCGCAAACATCAAATGCCTAATGTGACTGACAACTGGGTCGTGTCATTAAATCTTCTACTTCACTTCTCTTCCTAACTTCAAACACAGATACGTTAATCACAGTGAATGTGGACTTCAAACATGGTTGTATCTAGACGTCCATCCTGTTGTTGCGTCCTGCTGCCGGTGGCCTGCCATCCACAGCACTACCAAACCGTGTAAGCATCCACTCACCCTGGGCGTCAAGCCTTGCATAAAGCTGTCCCAACTTCTCCACCATGAACTTCTGGAACTTCCTATTACTCTGACGATCCTCGTCCAACATCATCTGAAGGTGCACAGACTTTGCATAAGCATTCTTGGCATAGTCATTGACAACATTCAGCTTTGGAAGGACGTCGCCTTTGAATCGCTCCAGGTTCTCCTTGCAGGACTTGGTGATGGGGTCTCTAATTGCCTTGACGAATTTCTTCCTAATCACATTCTCGAAGTCATCGCCAATTTTCATATCAATTACAGCCCTTACCTTTCTTTCGAAGTCTTCGGAAGAAGCAGCAGTGATGCTCCCTTTACTTCCATCGTCCACGTCATCGATGTCCTCACTCACATTGACATTTATGTTCTCTGGAACAGCTGATGCGTCACTCTTGCCATTGCCATGTTTCTGCCTTGTTCGCCTACTGCTTTCAGCAACTGAGCCAGTCATGGTTGGCTTCCTTTTGTTCTTGTTCTTGTTCTTGTGGGCTCCTGTGTTGAAGAGGGACTCCAGATCAAAGCTCTCATCGTTTCCGCAGGATGCCGCTCCTTCTTCTGCTGGGTGGACCATAGTTTCGTCAGCTTCTGTGGTCTTGGGAGCGAAGTTCTTGCGTTTTGGGTATGTCTTTCCTGTGTAAGGATTGGTACAGAACTCGTCTTGCCTGTATGACATTTCTAATCTTGAAGGCCTTTGTTTTGTGACAACAGAACAGAATCCGGTTCTGGACAGTACGATTTGAACCAGACGAAAAAGTCACCTGATTTGAACTTTTGAATTCATGTAACAGACACAACGACTACTCTAAGAACGCATGTGACCTTGGAAATCTAAGCACGATCAGTGTTACTTATGTGCTAGCTGTTACTAGGGAAGTCGGCATTGATACCGGTTGCACTGCCCGGCTGCACTCCCCTTGCTTTTGAATGGAAGTCCTCGAGCTCATAAATCGGCTTATCGAGGAAGTCAAATATGGCTGCCGTCAATCTTAATGAGGACCACCGGGGTATCCCACCACTACGTAGCCTCAGGAGAGTCTTCGATGACAATGACAGGGCAATTGAGTACCTTGTTGATGAGGGGTGTTTGAACATCCCTGATGTTTGCGCTCAATGCAATTCTCCTGTAACTTATCGTCCCAACAGTAAAAATCTTCTCTACTGCAATCGTAGGGAGTGCAAAGCTACCCATGGCAAGAGGTGGACGCAATCCATCATGGCAGGGACGTTCTTTAATACCTGTAGAATTGACATCAATGACGTCCTCCATTTCCTGTACATGTTCGTCTGTGGCACTACGTACACTGCTGTTAGAAGTACATTCGGGTGGTCTCCTAACACAGTTACTGACTGGTTCCGATTCGCTCAACAGTTGATTGGTGAAGTCGTGCTCGAAACAATGGAGAACTATCAGATTGGTGGTATCGGAGTTGAAGTTGAGATTGATGAGTCCAAGTTTGGGAAGCGGAAGTACCATCGAGGACATAGAGTCGATGGTGTTTGGGTGTTTGGTGGCGTCGAAAGAACACCAGAGCGTAAGTGCTTCCTTGTAGCTGTTGAGGACCGCAAGAAGCCTACTTTGGAGGCTTTAATCAAGGAGTTCATTCTCCCTGGTTCTATTATCATCAGTGACAAGTTCCCATCTTACGAGGATCTCGAAGGAACAGAGGACTTCTGGTACCAGCACGAAGTTGGTAAGTTCTTGTTGCTTTTTCGTGTTGAAGTTGATCCCGCAAACCACTTTCGGCGATGTGTGACTAACTACTACTGTTCGTTTTATAGTGAACCACTCGGAGAATTACAAAGATCCCATTACAGGTGCCTGCACGAACACTATTGAAGGCACCTGGAATGGTGTCAAGAAGCTTGTTCCCACCAGGAAGCGAACAGAAGAAGGGGTTAGGCCTTGTCTTTTTGAGTTCATGTGGCGGCGAATGCACAGTGGTCGTCTGTGGAGGGCTTTGTTGGAAGCCCTTGCCACTGTTCGGTATGTTTAGATGCCTGATCCGGCTTCCACTTGTGTGGGAGTTCGATCACACTTCTTAGTTTAGTTACTTAACGTTTAGAGTTCCCCTTTCTTTTTTGGAGCGACTTCCCCTGGCTTTTGTAGTACTAGTATTTCTTTTCTCGATTTTAGTAATTAGCACTAAGTATGGTTATGCTATATACAGATCTCTATATTTCGAAGCCGTTGTCCTGGCCGGTGCGCCTCACCCCAACTATAGATAATCCGTGCCTGGGGATTGGTCATTTTGACATTTATTGAACCTCCCCGATGGTGTTCGATTGGTGAAGAAGACGATGCCAACAACTGTCAAGTGCTGTTCGATTTAGAAGGACCACCCGCCATTAGCAGTGACAACAACGACGACAACACAACTACCCTAGGAGCCGTGGATGAATCCGTTACGGCCGATTATTACCCCAGTTCCGGTTCTCTATTACTGACGACGGCACAATCCCAATTTTTGGAATTGGTGTTTGTATCGTTCATTTCTCTGGTCATGCTCTTTCGAGTGGGACGAGATGGATGTTCCATTGTTCGATACTTTCGAAAAGGACCGGCACTGTTGCTTCGCTCCCTTCAGATTATCGCCATTGCGGCCATTTACTTGGGATTGGGAACTGGGTACACTTTTTTTCAACCAATTGCCAGATTGTTGCTCCTGGGAACATTGCTACGAAGTTTGCATATGGAGGTTGCCAATACACTTCTTGTGGTACGTTGGTTTTTAAATGCTCGTGAAGGATTGGTTTGTCTTCATCTCCTTCCACCCCCAGCCCCCTCATTCATTCATCCATTCTGCCTTTTTTCATCATGACAGCTTCCCCAAGTACTCAACATTTGCGCCATGCTGGCAATTTACGTGTTCTTTTGGGCATTCATGGGGACAGTCCTCTTTTACGAAACCGATCAAGGCGTGGCGGGGTTTTCCACCTTTGTCGAATCTCTATGGACGCTTTGGATTTGTATCACGACCGCCAACTACCCAGACGTTATGATGCCCTCCTACAACCAAAATCGACTCTCGGGACCCTACTTTGTCATCTTTATGATTGTCACCTTTTTCTTCTTTATGAATCTCATCTTGTCATCCATTGTCAACACATATGATGATATCATGAGTGAGCGCAAAAAGGAACGAAAAGCCCGGGAAGATGCCAAACTCTCCGAAGCCTTTCAACTCATGGACCAAAGCAAAACCATTGACCGAGACACCGTCATGACACTGTTCCGTATCTTGAACAAGGACTTTCCAGAGTTTCGACACATTTCGTCGCGGGATGCCAAACTCTTGTTTGCCGTGCTAGACCGTGATGGGTCGGCCAAGATTAGTCAGCACGAGTTTTTAGATTTTGGAAGTATCATGCTCTTGGAGTTCTTTCACGAAGAAGAATTCGCAACATCGATTCAGCTTTATTTTCCCAAACTCTACAATTCGGAGAGGTATCAGGTGAGCACTGTATTTGAGACAGTAAGAATATCAGCTTTGTCTTGAATCATCCGCTCACCCCCACATTGTTGCGCTTTCTACATCAACAGAACTTTCTGACAGTTGTCAAGTCGGAACAGTTTGAAACTGCAATTGATATCATTCTGGTGATGAATGCCGTTGTGGTTGTGATCCAATCTTGGCCCCTCCTGATTGGAGATGCAGTGACCCAAAACGAAGATTTCTTGGATGGAACCATCGACACTGTCTGGGAACTTATTGAAGCCATCTTCACAGCGATCTACTGTGTGGAAGCCATTCTTAAAATCGTCGCAATGGGGTGGAACAACTACATTGAAAAGGCAAAAAACGTTTTCGATTTCATCATCACAATTCTGGCGTTTTTGGCCACCGCCTATGTCTACTACCCCAATGACTACAGCGACAGTCGCTTGATTCGTTACAGTAAGTATCACGATGGATGGGACTTCAACTTCTGGCCCGAGAGTCTTCTCACGTCACTTTTTGCATTGGAATGTCAGTTGTAATGGCTCGAGTGGTGCGAATTGCTCGGGTTGTGATCGCCTTCAAGCCTTTCCGAGTGATTGGTATCATTTGGTACGAGGTCATGCCGTACGCAACAAGCGTGCTGATCTTGCTCTTCTTCATCATGTACGCCTTTGCGTCATTGGGAGTGGAGCTGTACGGGGGTATGGTTTCGCGGGATCCTTCCAATCCATACTCGTACTTGATCCTCAACACCGACTTTTCGGACAATGATTACTGGGCCAACAACTTCAATGATCTTATCAGTGCCTTCAATGTGCTGTTCAACCTTTTGGTGGTGAACAACTGGACAGAGTGTGAGATTGGCTTTGAAGCAGTCTCTCAGACGAGATGGGTCAGGTACTACTTTTTCGCCTTTCATTTCGCCGGTGTTATTCTGGTCAACAATCTCGTTGTGGCTTTCTTTATCAATGCCTTTTTGGCGCAGGGCAAAATTCTGGCAAATCGCAAGGAAGAGCTTGCTCTCGATAACGGCGAAGCAGTCATTCATGGTCGTGAAGCATCGTTTGATGCATCAGAGATCACGGGCACCCGAACAAGTGTCAGAGGTGGCTTCATTGCTAGAATCAGAACAACTCACGCTGAGGAGGACGAACAAGATCGTTTGCGGCGGCTCTTCACGCAGACATCCGAAGAAGATGAGATCCGATTCAAACCGCAGGAAGAACACGAGTGGACCATGCCCTTTGCAAGAAGCTAGAACACTCTCATTGCTGTGTCCACCCGTCGGAGCAGGATCCATGGGTCCATCCTTTGCAGGCACGCAACTATTGCGTTTTTGCAGGCACGCAACTATACATGCTATCGATACATGCGATCAGGGAACGAACTCGACGTCGCACAAGGTGAGCACACGGTGCTTCTCCATACCGTATACGCGCAACGTTTGTCTTGCACGTACTAGTATGTCATAGTCCATCCTTGTAATGATATTGCGAACTGTGTTCACCGAGCATGCAACTTTAGTCCATTGCAATATCGTGTGGCGTGCCCCATCGTTGAGCCTCTGCCCCGCCTAAGCTCAATCTCAAGTTATTGCTATTTCCAAGATCGACTTACAAGTGAATATTGGGTGTGCCGGTATGGCGCGCTGCATCGTTGACGGGGTCAGGCTTCTGCCGAAGTCCGGCCCACCGCTTCTTCAAGTTATTGATTGAACAGTGTCAATCGAAGATCATCAGGGGGTGCTAGTCCCAGCGCATTACCAGTATGTAATGCATGGTGTGCTTCGTGAATCACGGGGGTGATGCATCAGGCGAAGAAGCCCCGGCCCCATCTCCTGACTCTTCAACAACCCGCTCTTCAACCTCACATTGAAGCAAGCAGGTCATGAGATAGAAGATAGATTCTCTGCGGCATTGCAAAAGGTTGGCATCGGATATCGGATATCGGATACCGCAGGCCCCAGTCAGGGTTTTTGTAGGCCCTAGTCAGGGTTTCTCTCTGCACTCTCAAACTAAGTCTTTTCGATTCTGGGTTGAAGAGCTATTGAAGTCTGATAGCCGCTGGGCCTCAAGGCCTGGAACTGGCTGGCGAAGCGAGAAGGCTGACAATTCCATACGTCACCCGCCAAAAAAACACATGGGGGACCAACCGTAACCAAACACATCCGAAGATGCAAATAGTTCCTGTTTATTAAAGTCGCCGGTACGGTAGCTGCAGGTCATCAGGTTTGGCACGAATACGCGTCAATCTCCTTTCTAGCTAGCTAGAGCTAGAGCTAGCTTAGCCGAGTGGGGCTTTTCGAAGTGGAAGTAGTATGTACTGGTACTAGTAATATTATGTAGTCTTATTCATGTATGAATGCGTGCGTCTTTGATACAACAAAGCAAAGAACAGTAGTATGATAGCGGGCTGTGGTCGGATGCGGTTTCTGCAGATCGTTCGATGAGGAGGCGGGATTGTTTGTTTGTGTGTCTGTTGGCAACTGTTGTGAGGGTGGTGGTGTGAAAACATCAACAAAAAGGGGGACTGCCTGTCATGCTTTTATAGCAATTAGCTAAGCAGCAGCAGCTCGACTCTGATCGCAAAGAACAATGGCATTGAGTAGAAAGTCGTTCTTGGTTTCTTCCATGAATTGAGCAATGGACGATTCGCCGTAACTGGCGGCGTTGATTTGCGTTGCAATCTGCATGAGCTGACGGAACTGTTGCTGGGACAACTCGGAGTGGCAGAGTTCGCGACCCACTTGAGCAGCGTTGTTCAAGAGAGCCATGGAGACAAAGTCGATGACGGGGTTTCCACATCGACCAAGCTCCAATCCTGTGTCGACCAAGAGTTTGTGACTGCGAATGTAGAACGACTCGGCCTTGATGAGGTACTTGGAGTTGCTCTCGGTGAGTCCCTTGATGTGGTGGATCAGAGCCAAATTGAAGAGTACAATGGACGACCGTACAGTGACATCGACCATGTGGTTCGATGAGTACGCGCCAGCTTCCTCCATGAGGGTGACGCCCTGTGAGAACATAAAGTCGCTCGGACCCAACACACGTCGATTGGAGGGAGCTTTGGAGTTGGCAAAGGCCTTCATGCCCTTGACCCTCCAGAGCTTGGTTCCTTCGGCTGCAGAGCTGCTGCTGGGTGTAGGCTGTGCGGCTTCTTGAGCAGTCGTGTCGCGCAGTTGGTTCATGGTGCTTCGTAGAGCATCGCGAAAGAGGTTAAAGGACTTGTGCAAGTGACCCTTCTCGAGGTAGGCAACTCCGCGGTTGTTCAGATGAACGGTTTGGTGATTTGGGTTGGACGCCATTTTGACTTCTCGGTTCGGTGTAGACAAATGAATGAGGGAGAGAGAGGAAGAGCAAAGAAAGAGCACCGTGGCTGCTAGTGACAAGGGGGATGAATAATTGTGAGAAAGGTTAGTGTAGCTGCGGTGGTGGTGTTATTGTTGAGAGACAAGACAAATAAATCGAAGGCAAGCAATAGTTGCTTGACCACTATTAGCTACTACTCGAGTAGTAGTACAGTAGTTGTGTGTAATTGCCTGGAAGATCAGCGTTCTTGAAGCTACCTTTCACATCTCCGGCTCGATCGCTATGACACTCTCCGGTTCATGGAGAACTGGTGACTTAAAGGCGTTTCAGCGTTGTTATTGCCCTGGCACTTGCAAATAATGACGTGGGTCATCTTGGTGTCGAACTTATTGCCCAAGCTTCCCCGATCAAGAAAGAACTCCTTTGAAGTTTCAACCAGCATCAAAGAAGCTACCAATATCGGAATGTCTGTGAAATCAGCTGAAACCGCATGCAGCCGAAGTGAATTGCCCACTGTACTTGTACTGCAAGTAGACAGACACACACCAATTTAAAGGTTGAACCTACAATGACAGCTAAACAGAATTAACCAAGCATCTGTTTTATTCCTCAAAAAGGGACATTTCAAGCTTTCACAGCCTGACTTCTGCAATCAAGAACGGAGCTGAAATGATGACATCACCACCGAGGAGCTCGCGAAGTCAGAAGTCTCTCAGAACAGCTGCATTGCAGGTTTTAACGACTTCAAACGCAAAATGGGACGTCATTATCCGAGCAGGCATATGACTGCTTTGGCAGAGACAGTTTCCGAGTGAGGCGAACAAACTTCAAGACGCGCAAGACTTCAAAACATGATTGGCTGCCGGGCTGGCTGATTCAGCAGCCCTGATACGGTACGGTAGCATCGTCTAGCTAGCTCTAGCTAGAGCTAGCTAGTAGGGTACTAGCTAGCTAGCCAGCTAGTAGCTCTTCCTCGCCACGATGGAGAGAAAGATAGTGTGCAACCTGGCGACCTACCGGAGCTCCTACCGGTACCAAAACTATTCTTGGTGACACGAGATACCTTTTGCAGCACCATTGTGGCCAACCACAGCGCCCCAGACCTCCCGCTACGGTACTCGTACATGTAGAGGTCAGAGCCATCTACTGATACAGTACTTGCTACAGTTTGGAAAGCTGCGATTTCCGTCGAACCCTTCCTTCTTCAGTGCCTGTCTTCGCGTCTTCGCGTCGAGTTTGAAGGCTTGACACTTACTTGACATAAGACATAAGTAAGTTGACTTGATGTTGGCATTCTCTAAATCCAGATCACACACGCAGTTCACACCGGCTACCGGTATTAATATGCCCGACTATTTGCCTGTAAAAGGTGTGTCTAACCCAAAAGGTACATGTACGAGTAACAGTTATTTGACTAGCTCTTGACAACTAGTACTCATGAGTAGTTCGTGTCTTCGGTGTTCGAGCGACTGATAGTACATGTATGTAGTCTGCAACGTCGCTTTGCTGGGTTCGTAGTGGTTCCCCTCACACGGCGTTCGAATACATTTACGTTGTGCCCGCCACGCCTCGAACTCTTGGCTCTCTTCAACCACGAAGAAAGAAGAGTAACAGCCAGGGCATGTAGGTGTATGGAAGCTAGACTACATCATGTAGTCAGCAAGGTGCCAACCCTTGCTGCTTTTCGCCCAAGTAGTCTTGGTTTGCTATCGGTACTGTAGTTGACGGGCAATACAAAAGAAGAGCGGTTCCCATGCTGTTCCTGTACCGGTATTGCACGGAGACTGAGTACATTAGCCTGGATGCAGACTGGCGTCTTCCGCCAGTGGTAGCGTGGTAGCATGCTGTTGGCGAGGAAGAATTTGCTGGTTGCGAATTCGGAGGAAGCAAGCATGAAGAACAAACGGTGCAGATCAACTAAGTGGCTATGGTAGTGGGCGGGTCACGGCGTTGCGACAGTCAGAGACGTGGTGCTTCAACACGATTGCGCCGCTGATAGAAGTCATGGCAATGATGAATAGACGAAGAAGTAGAGCTTCGTTCGTTCAAGGTTCATCATGCGCTCTCCCATCCTGCGGCGCGACGACCGCGGCGGCACGTTCTGCAACCGAGGACCACCGTGCTGTCAACTTGTTGATCGCCAATTGCTGCCGCAAGCACACCACACAACGCACCAGCCATCGACGTTTGCTTGCCCCAAAGTGATGGGCAGACACAAAAGCCCGATGTGTTGCAAGAACCTTCACTGTGGCAATCGCAACTAGAACTTGCAGAGACTTTGAAAAGTTTCCCAGTTGTATGCAACGGTGAAAGTATCACAAGCCATGTTGCATTGCCACAGTCACAATTTCCAGTGTCTGTTTCACAAGTCCTAGCAGAAGAGTCTCCATCGTTCAAACATTTGAACTTCTCCACTGAGGCCTCCACCAGGCTGCACCGCATGCCATAAAGTGGCTCAAGGCAGTCACACATTGTTGAGGATGAATTGAGGAAGCCACCATTCTGACACCCAAAAATGTGGGGGGTCTTTCTGATATTCACAGGCATACCCGCGAATTGCAGGATCTTCTGGGCACAAGTCGCAGCCTGCTGTTTCCAAATTGCAGCATACACTGTTCCGTACTCTTCAATGCAATAGTAATTTCATCACAAAGTATATACGGTACGCCATATGACGTGGACAGACACCGGAGACATCGTCGCAAATGCAGTCCCCATAGCATGGAATTGGCTGCTCATACTTGTAGCAGGCCACCTGATTTTCATATCTAGCACCTGTGTAGCCTTCTCCCAACCCACAGTCACACGGGATAGTGGTTTCATTGCAGAAGCCTCCGTCACTACGCCAAAATCCACCAAAATCTGTGCTGTGCAAGTAGTGCAGACCAACATTGTCTCCAAAGGAGCAGCAGGTTCAAAGATCCGAAATTCAGTGTCCGAAATGGGAACTGTGGACAATCCAAAGACCAGCTGGGTTGGGTAGGAAGTGTTGGAGTGTCAAAGACCACATGATCACTTAGAAAGAAGGGAACAGAAGTGGCCTCAAGGTAGCCATGAAAAGTGCCAGCTTCAAAACCATGACGTGGTTTCCTTTTAGAAGTACCATTCTGGTGAATCCCTTAACCTCCGAAAACTGAAGTTGTGAAAAGTAAGTGTCATCAGTTGCAAGTACCCAATGGCGCCCACAAAGAAAATGCTGTTGGCTGGCCAAGTTTTGTTGGAATGGTACACCTAGCTAGCAGTTCTATTAGAGAAAAAAAAGGAACATGAGCGTGATTTGACTCGGAGCACTACTCATTGGCATATTGTAGACCTTGACAAAACCCCCTCTCTCAACCAAACTCAACAGCGAACATGCTTCCTGTAGGAGGGAACGGGTTGTGTCCATGCATTCAGCACCAACTCAGGGCACACATTGCCATGGGCACAATCCATGTATTGTTGTCCCATCATATGTGTTGTTTGGAAAGGATCCCAGGCCTTGTGAGGAGGAGATAGTGTGGTAGCTATTGCCAGAAGGTATCCTGTGGTAGCCAGAGCAGCAGAAATGAAGTTTGTCTGTGGAAATCTTTGGTCGTGAAGCTAGCCACAAGGTATCATGCTTTAGCTGGTGAAGCAGCAATGAAGTCTGTGTTTGGAATGAAGTTTGTGTTTGGAATTCTTTGGTTGCAAAGTAACTAGCTAATGCTATCGCTACTTGCCAGCACCGGCTTGTTTGGTCCTTTTGGTTGGAGGCTCTACTAGTTTGCCAGGAGCACCACTCTCACTCGTACCCTTTGCCCTGGATTGCAGAGCATCACTGATGATGTCTACCCTGTGCCTCAGGAGTGCAAAAACGAGGGACCGATTCAATCTAGTTTGCGTCCTGTATCCACCCCATTCCGACGACGTGTTCAGCCACTGATCATTTCTTCTATCATTGGCACGCGACAGGATCAAGGCCCAAATTGTGGCAGCTTTGGATGCCTCCATTGTCAGAAAATGACGAAATCTCCTCATCACGAGCAAAAAGTCAAGTGTTGTAGTGCGATGATTGGCGAGTTTCGCTTTTGGTGCTGCTGTTTTGACCAAAATTTCAAACAGTGCCTTGATCTGGGATTCGTTCAGGGTCGCCACGTTGAGGTCAAAGCTGACAAGTTTGCATTCGGCATCCTGCGAGAGATAGTTTTGCAAATGCCCAAAGCACAATTCCGAAATCTTCATCCCCTTGAGATAGATCTCTTGAATGGGTGTCATTGGAAGTATTCTCATCACTTCCTCCGCAAACGAATCGCTCAGTTCAGCCGAGTCAATGTGGAGTTTCTTAAGGCACGGAAGCCCCCTCAAGATTTGGAATATCTGTGAAAATTGGTCCTCCCGCACCTGGATGGTTCCATCGTCGTCGCGGCCTCGAATGGTCAACGATCGTATGCTCTTGTTGGTTCCTTCGAGACCCTCGATTAAATTCACCATGGAATATTCCGCCGTTTCGTAGTGATCGCAAATGTCCTTTTCAGGGCATCGGATGACGACCGTTAACACTGTGGGAAATGCCTTGATCAACTGATTCACAGTATCCTCGTTGCCGTATATACATGTCAATAAAATAGTTTGTAGATTGACTGGCCATGTCTGGAAGCCTTCTTTCAGATTGTTGTTATCAAAGTCGGCATCACAACCATCAATTTCGAGATTTCTGAGGCGCTCTTTCCAATGCCCCGCGTCGGCAAAGGGCTGCAGCATGGTCCTGATATTGGTCCAATCCGAAAAGTCGTCGTAAAACTCCGAGGCGTCCCTCCCTTGCACATACTCACGCATCGTGTACATGATATGATACATGCTGCCCTGCAGTCGTAACGATTCCATCTTTGGACAACTCTCGGCAATCCATTGAAGCAGAGATTTTCGTGCCTCCTTGCCGGCTTCCATGTATCCCTCTTCAAAGCAAGTCCCCGTCGACATGGCAACATATGCCTTGGTGGTGTGGCCCCGTATCTCTAGCTCTAGAATAGTCGTGTCGGGAAAGTTATTGCTGTCAAACGCATCATCGTCAATGGTCAAGGCAGGTAGAAGCTCGGCTCGAATTTCAATGCTGGTTTCCTCTTGGAGATTCTCCAGGTTTCTAGCTTTTTCAATGAACTGTTCTACATTATGAAACTGATCCTCTTTCATGTACTCTTGTAGATACTCGGATGCGGAATCTGAAGATGCCATGTCTATACGGTACTAATACTCGATGGTGGCAAGGTGGATGCTCGAGGGTCGAAGGATTGGAAAGTGGAAAGTGGATCCGAAGAGCAGTCGCAGCAAGTCCATGTTGCTCGAAAGATCGTTTGAGTGAAAGGGTTAAGGATTTCACGCGCTTGGCTTGGGAGTTGGGAGCTCCTCCAAGTCCAGGGCTTCGGTCTTTGCTCCCACCGAGAGCACAAACAGAAGTACAGATACTGTACACCATAAACAACAGTTCATCCTCCAGCTCTTCGTCCTTTTCCTGGAGCTCCAATGCCTGGTTGGGAAGTGCCATTCCCCGCTTGAATCCTACATGTAGAAGAGAGCCCGAGCTTTTTAAAAATTCATGGAATTGGTGGTTCTGGAAAAACCATGTTGCTCTATTGTCTCATGTTAGGTGAGGTTGTGCACACCATCCCCACCATTGAATTCAATGTAGCGACACTAAGAGTTCCAGGGGTGTCAATTTTGAGCTTGCTTGGGATGGTGGTGGACAAGACCAAGCAAGCACTCATAAACCTTTGGAGGATGATGGCATTGCTGTGGTTGTTTGGCCGTTGGACTAGACAGTAGCAAGACCAGAGGAAATGAGGGTCTATGCTCCCAACTTAGCTGAAGTCTATTTGATGGGTTGGTAGTGGCTTAAAAGCAATTGCTTGGTACCTCTAAGCATGCTGTGCTAAGAATAAGAAACCAGACTGCAGGGCAAAGATAGAGAGGCAAATCTTTCAATCTCTTCAAGTTTCTGACTGACGACTGCTTGATTGGTGTACTTGGTTTCATTAACAAGTTGGACGACAAGACTACTGGAGGTGGGGTGCAGGAGGCGTTCACAGAATTTGCCTCTGCTCGTACACACTAGCAAGATTGGTCAGGAGATCGCCCACTTACTACGTTTGATCTTGCTTGGATTGCCGTGCCAATCAACAAACTGTTGATTACTACGGTAGGCATGTAGAGGATGAAAGAGAGGGAAACCGCCTAAGACCCGTCAACATACATGTACCACATCGAGGACAAGGCATGAGTTGACTGCTCCGCATAGTCCTTTCCCGCGCTGCAGCTACAAGATTCCGCTCTAATCTTCCCTGCCAGCTACAGCTCATCTAGCTAGGGCTCTCGTGTAGGCATTCCGGCGCCAACCTTCAGCCTCGTCCCCAATTTCACTTCCACTGATACTTGCTTTCTTTCCACGAGAAAGAAGTGTTTTTTGTACCATTCGATTCATCATTCCGTGATTTTGCAACGCAAGTCACAGCTGTAAGCTCGATCGTGCCAAAGCTTCTGTGGTAGCTACCGGTTCGGCAATCGGTCTAGCTAGCTAGTCTAGTATAGTAGCTGTAGCTGTAGCAACCAAATTCCTTCTGGCTCTATTGACTCGGTTTGACTTCAAAGAGATCTTGATCCGTCACTCTCGCCACTCGGTCGTCCGTGGCACGAAAGTTTCCTTCGCCTTTGGCTTTCGCCTGGATTACGTTGTTTTCATCCTCCATCTCTGTTATCCTGTTCGTGTCGCCGCAGCGTCTTGGCACGTCGGAATCAGAGCTAGCCATCACTTCGTCTTGGCTTGGGATTGTCCATCATTGTGACATGCGTATCAAGCAGTATGGGTCTTGTACAGGGTTCACTAAGCCAACAGCGTGATCGTGTGAAGGCAACAACCAAAGGCTTACGTAGATTCTATGCTATGTGACAGATCTTGGCGAGGAGAAATCTCATTGTTTTGTCACGCGAAATCAAACATCATCATATTTTTGGCAAGCTGTTTGACAATTCAAAATGTTTGGAGAGACTATGGTTATTCCTGCCCCAGACCATGAGGTCATCCCATTCCTTATTCCTTTTGGCATCATTGGAGTTTGGAGATGGGGGCTCTTTTTGCTTCGCGTCATCTTTAGGTGGCTGTACTGTCCCATTACGCCAAGGCGACACGGAGATGGTTCCTCTGCAAATAAATACAAGCCGTCTGATGTTACCATCATCGTCCCAACCATTGACAATGGAGAAGAATTCTTGGAAGCTGCCAGGAATTGGCAAAAGAACAAGCCTCGTCAGATCATCATCGTGACCTCGGATACGATGAAACACGAGATCCAAAAAACCTGTGAACAAGCCATGGATGATCCAAGCCTTTTCCGCGTCCTTTCCGTTCCAAATCCAAACAAACGAGTGCAGTTGATGAAAGGGGTTTACGCCGCGGAGACTGTGATTGTAGCCCTGTCGGATGACGACGCCATTTGGACCACCTCTGACTTTCTCCAGTGGATGTTGGCTCCCTTTGATGATGACAACATGGGTGGTGTGGGAAGTAAACAAGCCATGATGCCAACAGGTAGATTTCCAACGGTTTGGGAAGTTATTGCCGACTTTCGTCTCACGATGCGAATGATCGAGACATCTGCAACCACTTTCGTAGATGGTGGCATGTCGTGCCTCAGCGGACGAACGGCGGTCTACCGCACGGAAATCTTGCAGGATCCAAACTTTGAAAGGGAATTTGTCAACGAGAAGTGGTTGGGCAAATATGCATTGCATTCAGGCGACGACAAGTTTATCACTCGTTGGCTTGTGAAGAATAACTGGAAGATGCAGATGCAAAACCATAAGGATGCAACCCTGCTAACAACTTTCAAGCCTGATCGCATGTTCATAAAGGTGCGTACATTTTGCCTCGAGCCAACGAAAAGTGCCTTGGGAAACACTTGAAAGTTTCTCACTGCATCTTTTCTTTGCCGTATCTCGCAGCAAGTGTTGCGTTGGACTCGAAACACGTGGAGGAGCGACATGCGAAGCGTCTTCGTTGACAAAAAGATCTGGTGGAGACATCCTTATGTTTGTTTCAACATGTGGGATAAGTTTCTCAATCCGCTGCCGCTCCTCTTCGGTGTGGCGCTCATCATTTGGAACACTGCAACATTTGGAGGGTCTGTCTTTGGGCAAACCTTAGTCCCAGTTTTTGCATGGCTGATGTTTACTCGCATGCTTAAGCTGATTCCACACCTTCTTGCGAAGCCATCCCATATCGTTTTTGTTCCTGCAATGATTTTCTTCCAGTACTTTTTTGCGGTAATGAAGCTGTATGCTCTGTTTACGCTTCACATCACTGACTGGGGTTCCAGAGATGGAGCTGATGGCGAGGAATCCTCGGACGCATCATCATCAAACGAAGACACTGAGGAACTCAGTTTTTGTACCGCAACTCAGTTTCTCGAGATGGACCTGGAAGCTCACAGTGCACACGAGAACGAAAGTAAAGCTGTCCCCACCACCAGCGTGAAACAGCATGGGTCCAAACCTTGGTATAAACGTTTCGACGGGTGGATTGGAGCAATGCTTCTGCTCTGCACGGTTGGCGCAGTGGGGTATCTTGCTCATCTCGTCATCAAACCAAGGTGGACAATGACTCTGATTGCAACCAACAAGGCTCTCAGTTCTGACCGAGCGACTGGAGCGGCATTCCACGACCCTGCCAGTGGCAAGACCTTTGTCGCCTATGCGGGACCAAACATGGATCCAACTGTGAAAGAGTTTGACCATGTAAGCACTGCCCTGGCGTCGAACTCAATTGCTGTGGGTAGTAGCAAACCAACATCGGATTACCACGACTATCCAATGATGAACATTGACAACGACGGCAAATTGATGGTCGTCTTCACGGACAGCCCCGAAACGTTACATATGTCCAAAGCGTCTGAGCCACACACAACAAATACCACCTGGACGGAAACGCAAATCAACAGTGATAGCCCCACATATCCATGCATCATCAAAGCCTCCAACGGCAACATGTACATTTTTTACCGCCGAACAGTGAAGGATATGTCTTTCTACAGTTTTTTAACCTTTGTCCAGCGAGACTATCGACCCTTGGTGTACATCAAGTCGACTGACAACGGCGAGACCTGGTCAAAACCTAGGAGCGCCGTCGACACAGGTGGCTTGCAGGTCAATGGGGACCTCATGAACCTGAACGAAATCTATGCAGACTGCCCCAGATATGAACCAGCGCAAGCAGGACTTCCAGAGCGCTTTGCAATGGGTTGGACGCTAGCTGGCGGAGGCCCGACGAAACATGAACACAACTTTTACCACAAGGTGCGCACAACGATTGATTAGGGCGGCCAAGGATATGCATGCATTACTGGGATTAACCCTCCTTTTTGGTTTTTCAGAATGCATACTTTGCCTACTTCTATCCCGCAACAGATGATTTCGTATCTGCGAGCGGAGCGAACTTGGGGTCGGCCATCGAATACGACGACCTGGAACTTTGCTTGGTTCTCGACAGTGGCCCCTTGGACATGACAGATCCCAAAGCGGTCGACTACTACTTTGCACCGTCTTTTGTGGACGACAACCACTTCCCGATTGTCACATACAACTTCAACCGAACACTCAAGTCTGCCACATGGACCGGTGAAGAATGGAGCCACTCCGTCATTGCAGAGGATGCCGCTCTGAGCGGGTTTGACATTCAAAAGACTGGTCCAGATCAATTCCGAATCTTCTTGCCCGAAGGCAGCATCAAGATCTACGAATCTTCCAACGCCGGAGCTTCCTGGTCTCTGGAGGACAACATCAAGCCCAATGAAGACGGTGCTTCGGTGAACAAGGTCATCATGATCGGGAACACCCAACCTGAGAGCGACATGCAATTCTTGGCTTATGAAAACAACTGGGACGAGCAAAACTACAACGGAACTTACCGCATCTGGTCCGTCGGCCTTCAGTGATCTTGAATTGAGATTCCGAGCTTTGTCATCTTGCTTACTTTACAGTGTACTTCTCCAAAGATCGGAGAATCAGTACATGCTGGAACATACTGTAGGCTGTACGTTAGAGATACTTCCATAAACTAAATAGAAGATGTGTTGTGTTTGTACCTGTTCGACGCACGACAGTGATATCGTCTCGGTACGCAAGCATTGACAGGAGGTCGAGCTAAGGCGGCTTCAGGCCAAAGATCCACGCCCTTCGGCAAACGGGAAGTCAAACCGTCTTGTAGCTAGCTCTAGTTACATGGAGCTAGCGAAGTCAAAGCTTTGCACTTTTCCTCCAGCATCTGCGGAACCCTTTTCCTCCAACTGCAACGAAACCAACCCCCACGACAACTTTCCTCGCTGGAGATCCACGATCTTATCCAGTTTAGGGTTCGAGTATCCACTGACGTCAGACGCTAGTCCTTCTTTTTGCTTCTTCCCAAAACGTCATCCCGAAGATCCAAGCAATCCAAGCATCCAAGCAAACACTGCGACAATTGACAAGAGACCTGTCACTCGGGTCAATCTACCGATAGCAATCGAAAGGAGCTGCCGATGATACGGATTTACAGTGTGAGAATATAGATCCAGCCAAGGCAAACTCTACCATTGCGAAATTGACCATGTGGCAACGTCCCAAGCTAACGGCGGTCCTTTTGACCGCATGTCTGCTGTCTACCTCCGCTTTTCAAACTCCAGCTCAGAGTGTCGGCAGCAGCGCAACATCTTTTGTCCACCGTTCTCGCCACAACTTATTATTACAACCCAAGAAGGCGGCACTGTTTCCACGACGTCAAGGCATTTTTCATGGGCATCTTGTGACAGCCCTGTCTTCCACTCGAGGAGGCGGCTCGGAGGAAGATTTGGACGAGGAAAAAGATTTGCCCACCAACAAGACCATTAATCAGTTGGGTTCTCTCTTTTGGCAAATGGCGTCGCCGTACTATCAGGAATCCAAGTCAGGACGATGGTTGTTTTGGGGTGTCATTGGACTTACGCTGCTCAACAGTGGTGTCAGTGTGGCCTTTAGTTATTTGGGAAAAGATTTTTGGAATGCCCTGTCGAGCAAGGACGTGGATGCCTTTTACGATGTACTCAAGCAGTATGTTCCTGCCTTGCTCATTGGAGCCCCAGTGGCGACCTATTATCGTTTTCAACGAGCGCAATTAGCCGTCAGTTGGAGAGAATGGATGACGGATCGGACCTTGCAAATCTACTCCAGTCAGCGAGTGTATTATGCTCTAGAACGTGGCCAAGAGATTGACAATCCAGATCAACGCATTGCTGAGGATGTCAATTCCTTCACGGGATACTCTTTACAGCTTTTCATCACGATTGTCACATCCCTCATTGATTTGGTCAGCTTCTCTTTCATCCTATACTCCATTTATCCACAGTTGTTTGGTGCCATTATCATTTACAGTGTCTTTGGGACCATTGTAACAGCCTGGTTGGGAAAGGTTCTTGTCAAACTCAACTTTCAGCGACTGCAACGAGAAGGTACGTGGCACTGTCCTCGACAAAATATTGACCCAATGGCGCTTTTTTCTAACAAGCCACTGCAATCCCTACTATTGAATTCTAGCCGACTTTCGATACAGTTTGGTGCGACTGAGGGAAAATTCTGAATCTATTGCCTTTTATGCTGGAGAGGATTTGGAAGGCAAGGCCATCCAGGATCGATTCAATAAGGTGGTCAACAATACACGACAGGTTAATCTGGCGGAACGGAACCTCGAGTTTTTTACTACAGGTTACAGATACATCATCCAAATTTTGCCCGTTGCCGTGGTGGCCCCGAATTACTTTGCTGGAAAGTTACAACTCGGACAAATCTCGCAATCGGTGGGTGCATTCAATCACATTCTCAGCGATTTGAGCATTATTGTCAATCAGTTTGAACGCCTCAGTGGCTTCGCGGCGGGTATTGATCGATTGGCACAATTCTTTGAGGCCGTCCAAGTGGCTGATCCCACTCGAACATCTGAAACACCCTTGTTGCAACCACCACTAGCAGTAGATGGACAGGCTTCCAACATGACGACAACATCTGAGGATGGCTCGCAGGAACCGTCATCTCCACTTGTGATGAGCGGAGATGACGTCGGAGGAGCTGTGGCGTCAATTACTGGCACCATTGCGCTGACGCGCATGGCACCGGGAAGAGAAACCATCACAGATTCCATCCTTTCCATTCAGAAACTAGATCTCGGTACGCCTGACGGGAAACGAGTACTGATCAACGATCTCTCGTTGACCCTGAAAGAAGGAACCAACATGTTGATTGTCGGTGCGTCGGGAGCGGGCAAGTCTAGTTTGCTTCGAGCGATTGCTGGGCTCTGGACAAGCGGAAACGGGACAATCACCCGTCCGTGCGATGAAGAGGTCTACTTTTTGCCTCAGCGACCTTATTGTTCCTTGGGATCGCTGAAGGACCAGCTGTTGTACCCAAGTCTCGACGAACTGGATGGGCTGGGCGAATACCCCGAAGGTCATGTACTGCGGCGTGCTCACTTGCTCAAACAATCATTGGCAGATCAAGATCTGTTGGAGATTTTAGAAAAGGTCGACTTGAAGGAATTGGCAGCTCGGTCTTCTCCGGATGGAGACCCCATCAATGGTCTCAAGGTCGAATTGGACTGGAGTAACACCCTTTCACTGGGAGAGCAACAAAGGTTGGCATTCGGCCGGTTGCTGGTGAACCGACCGCGTTTAGTCATCCTCGATGAGGCTACGTCTGCCCTTGACATGGTCGCTGAGGCGAGGATGTATACTGTACTTCAAAACATGGCACAAAATACCTTCAAAGACGGCAAATGGTCTGGTCCTGGTTTGACATACATCAGTGTAGGTCACAGGCCCAGTTTGTTGTCGTATCATGACAAACGATTGCGTCTAGGTGGGGCAGATGCTAATGGAACTCCCAAGCCCCACGAAATCACTGATATTGAGAAGACATCCATGTCCTTATCACCCACAGACATTGCTAATCTGTAGAATAATATGAAGCCCTGTCGGACAGCTCATGGTGATGAAATTGTAAAACTGAGGCTAAGTTTATTTAGCAAGCCCCCTGCGACCAATGTTGTTGCGACTCTTCATTGGATCGCCCCCAACTGTGGCGGTCGAGGGCGCAAAAGTTTGATATGGAACCGCTTCAGCACTCACTCCTCGAAACCAGAACTCGACTGGGACGTCCATGCCACATCCAACCAGAACATTGACATCCTTCAATCTATGGCTGTCCACCGGAGTCAGCACGTAGAATACTCGCTGGACTCGATCGATGGCTCGAACAAGCCCCAAACCAACGCACCCCAACTGCTCGTGACTGCCATCCTTTCCATCGTTGTTGGCATCATCTCGATAACAGAGCCCCACAATCTTGGCATTAATGGCATCCAGCACCCAGTCATTGATGCTACCATCCTCCTCACACTTGTTGTGTTTTCGGTCGTTGTGTTTTCGGTTGTTGTCGTCGCTGTCGTTGATGTTTGTGAGATCTGAAAAGTGATCGGATCCGGCCCACCGTATCTGCACCGCTTCAAAGGGCACGGCATAAGGACGTGCACCTGCCAAGCGATGTGCAATCTCACAAGTGTCATCTCCAATTCCCTCGTGATCAAACCCCAGGTTGTACCAAATTGTCGCGTCATTGAGAAAGTATGTGCACAGTCGCAAATCCCGCAGGGCTTGTGCCGGCATGACACAACTGGTGGGGGTTGATTTGGTGGCTTCTGGTTTCATAGAGTTGTTGTTGGATACTATGGTATCGTTATTGTGGTTGTTGTTGTCAAATGTGGCATTGAGAAAGCTATCATAGGAATGAATGACATGTAATGTTGCCGAGCTGGTTTCTGGATTCAAAACATCTCCTCGCAGTGTGAATTGTTTGGACTTTGTGGTGCCCAGAATCTGAACCACATGCGTCAATGGGGTCAGTACACTGGTCAACAACGTAGATAGTAGCTCAAAGCCAAGTTGTTTGACCCATCCATCCAGGTTGATCAGCAGTGGTATGTCATTGTTGACATCCTCTTGGTAGTGTCTTACCAATCTTTGAATCAATGCCATGTATCGTTCTGGATCATTTTTGGACGTGACACTGCCAAAAAAGTAGGCAAATTGTTGTGATCTCTTGGATGATGGCAGTGGGCGTTCCAAGGAACGGTAGTGGGGTGGTGTCAAGAGAGGCTCGGATACAACAGTCAAAGTAACCATCCCTGGTGGAGACATTTCAGGTTGTCCCACGTCGGCATCCAAGATTGCCACTTGTCGTGGTGTAGTGTTGTCATTTTGATCGGACGTTTTGGGTTGCGGTGGTGGATCTCTGCTCAGTATTCGATTGGTCATGTACCGCAAAAACGTGGATTTTCCCACACCCTTCCCACCACAAATCGCCAATCGACATGTGCTGCTTCCGTCCTGCTGTGGAGCTCCCTTCGTATCAGCATCATTTCTAGTACTATTGTTGTTGTTGGGTATCAAACATGGCACAATTTGATCCGCAGCGTGTTTCCAGGTGGAAGGGACTTGAGTGGGTCGGACCCCTTTGGCAGCACCACTGACAATTTCAAAAGTTGGTTCCTGTGATTGATGATCTTCTGATCCCGCGGATTGGTCTTGTTGAGGCCACCACGATTCCACCTTTATGATAACACTGTCATCATTATCACGTCCCTTGTTGTCGCCGTCTTTGGTCTCTGTTTGAGTACTAGTGTGTATGGGTTCCATGACGAGAATGCTGGACCAAGGAGGGCTTTCCACGGGTACCTTGGGGCAGGAAGGATCCAACCGATACCCCAACAGGGATATAGACCCCTTGACACATTGAACCTGAGCTCTGCCCATTAAACACAACATTTGAGTCTTGTCATTGGTAGCTGAAGAAGGCCTCGGGAATGTCACCAAAGCATCCAGGTGCGCCTTTTCTGTCGGAACATCATCGTCCGAATCCGAGGCTGAAGATGAGAGCCACTTTATCTCAAAAGATGGTACCAGTGAAGATTGTGATTCTGTCTTGTTGTTTTTGTTTTTGCTATCGCTGCCGTTATCACTGTTCGGTCTGGGTCTCTTTCTCGTGCCAGTGGCATTGCTGGGATCGTCAAGAGCCGTGATCAATGACGGCGACGAACAGGAAGTCTCCATCTTTGAGGAGATTGCCAACAAGCTTCTGGCAAGTCTCAATATTCAAGTTTCAGAGGTTATAACACACTTCTTATCGTTATCAATGCCTTGTCGTTGGCTCTACCATTGGTTATACTCTTGCATCGATTGTTCCCTCCTCATGAACTCCTCATCTCATTCTACGTTCTGTAGCAAAATCGTTGGAGGCAGAAGAAACCGCTCTGTCCGTCGTCAGACATGGATACAGCGCCGCCAGAACCTTCCCCCTAAACCAAAAGCCTCATTTTTCTTTTGGGCATCGAAAGCATCGCGCTGCATGATCGAACTGCATTTGTGATCTGCCTCGATCCCATTGGGAATTACCAATGTTGGGTATATACTGTCTCTCTGGCTAGCTAGATAGAACCATGCGCCTGATCGTTGCGCTTCTTGTGGATTTCGTCCTTTGGCTCGGAATCGATATTTTTAGTAGTGGTTCATATACTAGCCATCCCCGCCGTGATTCCAACAAGACTCTGCCACTTTGCGTCGTCAACGATGATGGCCTGAGCTGCAGCTACAATGGACTTTGCGTCCGGTCCAACTGCAACACTCAAGAAACTCACTGCCTCTGTGATCCGGGCTGGAAAGGAATGTACTGTGAAGCACTGGATTTGGTTCCCGTGGCAAATGGCAGTGGACTCCAGGATCTCTTGACCCAAAACCGGACATCCACATGGGGTGGCAGTGTCCTTTTTGACCAGGGTGTCTATCACATGTTCTTTAGTGAACTGGCCCATCATTGTGGCATTCATCGTTGGATCTCTCATTCCGTCGTCAGTCATGCCGTCAGTGCCGGACCGGAGGACAACTGGAAATTTCACAAAACCAAGACACTGCTGCCCATTTTCTCGCATGAACCCATTGTGACAAGAGATCCTTCCACTGGAGAACTGGGACTCTTTGTCTCGCATTATCCTCATGGATCAGCCGCAGACGACAATGATTCTACCTGCCACTGTGTCGATGGCAGTACTTCTTCCGCACTGGAGAAACGTTGTATCCATGAACCGGGGTTGGGTCACAACAAAACCATGTACACCTACTTTACCACGGCACATCAGCCAACAGGACCCTGGTCGCCATTGCAATCGTTGGAACACGAAACACCCGAGGGGCAGAAACGGTTCGATTTGAATTTTGCGCCCCTCATTCTACCTACTACTAATCGATCCTTGTCGTTGTTGGCTTGGACACGATGGGATATTTGGACAGCCACGGACTGGAAGAATCCTCACACATACGTCCGACAAGGACCAGCACCCAACTTTAGTAATCCACACGCCCAATGGGAAGGAGAAGATCCGTCCCTCTGGAGAGATTCCAAGGGGCGATTTCATATCCTCAGTCACAATGGACCACGGGGAATAGGAGGACCGGAAGGAGATTGCGGTCGACACTTGTTTTCTGCCACTGGACAAGCAGGGAGTTGGTTGGCAGCACCGTTGCCATTGGGGGGTTGTGCCTTTCCCAGAGTCAATGTGAGCTTTGTGGATGGTTCCTCTCGAACCTTTTATCGTAGGGAACGACCACACTTGATCTTTGGTCCACACGGTAGACCCGCGGCATTGTCCACTTCTGTCATTGACAGTCCCGTAGGACCTGGTGTACCAGGGTTCCAACCACCGCAACGAGATGCTAGTTATACGCTGGTTCAAGCCACCCACACTGGTAGGCACTTCGATAGTACAGCAAGTGAAAAAGATTCCTGCTAAAGTAGACCCATACTGACGCTTGATAACTGAGGTTCATTATGTATCTTTCATTGGGGGCCTGTCTCGTGGGCCTCTCATCTCTCATTACATACATAGCCGTGCGTTTGCATCATTCATTGGCACCTATGAGGTGCTCACATCTACATCTGTTGTCGTGTAATTCAGGAACTTTCTCGTGGCATTGTACTTCCCAGCCACAATGTCATAGATTGGCTTCTTTCGACGCCAAAAGTCAATCACTCCCTTGTGATTCAAGCCACCAGGTCTGTAAGAACTGACATTGATAAAGGCGCAGATGGGTGGATACTTATCGGGAACGTAGTCACAGTGCGTGTTGTTCTCGGTGTTGTCAAATGTCTTGAAATCGAAAAAGTGCCATAACGTCACGCCCGAAATGTTCTGGTTGGCAATGGCAACATCGACATCTTTGCCAATGATCTTGCTCTGATACGCCAATGTCCATTTGGCAGCCGTCTTGTTGTCGGACCATTCGTAGATTCCACCGGCACCTGTCTCCGAAATCAAAAAGGGTTTCCCCAATGTCCCATTGTAGGCTCCTGCCTTCACATGGTCGGCATGATGGTTCCAAAAGGCCACCGGATCAACGTTGGGTCGACCATACCACGCCGGATAATTGTTGAAACTGACGACATCGGCCGCATGAAGGCACTTGTCATTTTGCAACTTGTTGCTGGCCCACGTGACCAGCCGGGTGGGGTCTCGTTCCTTGATGACCTTGACGCAAGTCTCGTACCCGACACAGGCATCGGCATGATCCGAGGGTCCTTCATTGAAAAAGGCCCACAACATGATCGATGCATGATTCAGAGCATTGTCCATCATTTCATGGAGTTGTTGCGTCTGATACTTCATAAAGTAGGGATCGACCGTATCTTCTTTTTTGACACCCGCACCTAGCGTTTCGCACCACATGATGACTCCCGCTTCATCCAATCGATCCAACCACCGGGGATCTTGTGGATAATGGGCTCCTCGCACATAGTTGGTCCCCGCTTGCAGTAACAGTGCCATGTCATTGTCCATATCCTTCTCGGTGGGTGACGCGGCCGTTTCCGGCCACTGCGTATGATGATTCCATCCCACCAATTTGACAATTTCGCCATTGACCGTGATGCGACTCGTTGCCTTGTCAACTCCAAATTGTCGCAGTCCAAATCGTTCCGTGACAATGCCACCGTTGATCTTGATACCAATCGTATGCAGGTTGGGATTGGAAATGGACCACAAGCGTGGACCGGGTACATGATGAATGGGTACCGTCAAGATTCCATTTTCTGCCTTGGCATGGAATCGCACAAAGGGATTCCCCTTGACTTTATCAAAGGCAAAACCCCCGGTAATTTTCCCCGAATAGGTAGGATCAGTCAAGTGGACGGTAATGTCAACTGTTTTAAGGGATGTGGGCAAGACGTAGACCCGCCAAGGCCACACTTGACTTTCGTCGATCGTATGGAGTTCGACGGATCTCATAATGCCACTGTAATGCCAATAGTCCCCCCGTTCGTGGGTGGGCGCGGTCGTTTTGTTGAATCGATTATCGACCAAAACAAAGAGTTCATTGTGGTTGGTGGTACCATTGGTACTGTTGGCAGGTTGTTTGGGGATATCCAAAGCAAAGGCGACATAACCACCGGCTCTGTGATCTCCCACTTCTTGTCCATTGACAAAGACGCGACAATAAAAGGAACACGCCTGAAAGACCAAGCGGGCGGGAGACGCGGTCAAGTCATAGTCAAAATGAGTACGGAAATAAGTAATGCCACGGTATCCCAAATATCCCGGAGGCGTATTGTCAATGCAGGAGGGAATTTCGGTCGAGTTGGGAGTTTCCGCTTTGGAGGGATCAAAGTTGGGATCCATGGAATCGTAGTCGGCGGGAGGAGGATGATCGATGGAGCCCAATTGCCCCATTTCCCAGGTCCCATCCAAGAGTTTGACCACACGCTTGCCGCCGTATTGAGGCCAATAGCGAGGTTGGTCCGGACCAAAGTCTTGAACTACTGGAGCAAAGATGGTGCTGTTGCGACGAGTGGTGGTAATGTTGACAGCGGTGGACACCTGAAGGGACGCTACCAACAGGGAAATGAGCAGGAGACTCGTCATTGTCATGGTTCTATTCGAAAGATAGATAACAATGCAGTACATGTAGAGGGGTTCACAGCACCGAGGGTATCGAGATGATCGTCTTTACAGAGGGCGAAGCAAACAACAAGCTACTGGTATTAGCTTGGGGTCTTTTGTATGATATCTATCTAGCTAGTAAACAACATGCCGTCTTCATCGTCTCTCCGTCAACTGTTGTTGTTTGGAAGGATCCAAAAGATCCAATTGCGTCATTGGTTCCTGTGTGTTCCGAAATGTCACGACCCAAATTCCGACCACCCACGAGCAAAAGCCAAAGCAAAGGCGTCTCTGCCATCGCTGTCTTTTCTCTTGTCTCTTCCTCACAAAACAACATCAAAAGTTAAACCAAAAGCAAACAAAAACTTACACAGCAAACCCCCTCTTCGAAGTAGCGCCATGACATCCACCCAAGCAACAGCAGCATCAACCACCACTAAAAAGTACCACGTTTCCGTGACGGGCATGGATATTCACAGTTGGTCGGCAGTGCCCACGTTTATGAGTTTTGCCCGTCGCTCCATGCAGCAAGCCAAAGAAGCCAAAGGCGTCGTTCATGTGCAAGGAGGCTATCAGAAGGGAGTTCATCATACTTTAACCGTGTGGGAAGATCGAAATGCCACGGTCCAATACCTGCGATCCGGTGACCACAAGGAAGCCATGGCAGCATCCAAGGATATTGGAACCTTTGTACAAGTGTACGGATACGACAGTGACGAAATTCCATCCATGGAGGAGGCCATTCAAAAGTGGAAGGAACACGGACATGTCGTTTTTCGACAAAAAACACCACCAAAGACCACAACTACACAATTATTGACGTCTTGGATGCTTTTGGGAGTCGCCTTTTTTGGAGTCCTTCATGTACTGACGCGAACGGGAGTGCTGCCCGTATCATCTGTGGCTGCCTTGACAGCGTCGTCCTAAGAAAATTTACTAGTATGTTATAGAAATCGGAATGAATACATGATTTATTGTTCGTCGGCATAAGAAATATAGCTGCCTTCAATATTTGGAAGGATGTTCAACATATAGAATGCTGTACCGGTATATTCACTGTCCTCTATTACTCTAAGCGGTTGTCAATCCTCCCTTCCATCGAAGGCAACACGGCAATGACACTGGGTTGGGGCGCCCAAGAGAGATGCAAAAGTCCGTGTACATGTAATAGATGACCTCGGAATACAAAAAAGACGACGTCACTTGTTCACATCCCAAAAGCCACCAAGGCTAGATTCTAGGCAGACCGAGCAAAACATGCTCTTCCCAAAAGTAGCTCAGCCCATCAGTGTTCAAACTTGTACATAAGATTTGGAGGTGGAGCAGCTCCATCCAGCTCTCCATCCACACAAGTTTGCCAGCCAGTGGATGGTGGAAAGTCTTGATTTGGCTTCAACTTTACCTTGTAGAAGTCAATGTCATCCTCCAAACCACCATTAACACAACACGGGATCTGAGCATACCAGTTTAGTCCTTGGAAGGCAAAGGCAAAGACCCTCTGCTCGCCTTGGTAAGAACCTTGCATGACATACTTGGGCTTTTTCTTATGCAATCCATCTTGTGTGTACACTCCATTCACAGCTTCTGTCCCAGCTCCTTCCACCTTGATTGCAACTGGAATTCGCGAAATGTCAGGAATCTCAGAAACCCAGCTTGGCTTTCGAAGTTTTGGAAAGCTTGCTGGCACCAGTTTCTCCAAAGCTAGTGCCTGCTTCTTGTATGCTTCCAATAGTTGCTCAGAGGTGGCTAAACCTGAGGAAGCCACAGTTGTTGCTAGAAATTGAGGATTCGTTTTTTCAAAGGAAATGTGCTTGGAAAGGCACACCCCAGAATCCTTTCTTTGACTGGGATCAGCTTCTACCCAGAGGCTTAGAATTATGAAGAGATCACATTCTGACATTTCCATTTCTGAATCCATGAGAATTTCCTCCATGACAGTTTTACTCAAAAAGCCAACATGATTGGTAGAAACTGATTTAGCTGGGGTTTTACGGACCCATTTCTTTGCCTTGTCCAAAACCACATCTGGCACCGAGTTTCCGGCCGTTCGGCACACCTGCAAAAAAGCAAAGGACAAGCATGGCCATTTCTTCCGGACGGTAGTACAATAATCCATGACAAGCTCTCCAAGGCCAGCAATATTGAAGTAGGAGGCAGCCTCTGCTAATGACACCAATGATTCAATCTGTTGAATGGAAACATGTTCCTCTTCTTCTTCTCCATCTGTTGTCTTCCGTTTCTTGGAGTTGAGAATTTGTGCGTCATCGGTAAGAACAAATTCCACCACTGCCTGGAGGACGCTTCCTGTAAAGCTAAGCTCTACAACAGGCAGTGATGCTTCCTGGAACTTGCCCAACAGCATTCCCTTGAAAACCTCAGATCGGGCTGAGAGTAAGAACCGGTTGGCCGGAACTTCCACACTGTCTGTTCCCTTGAGGATGATATCATTGAGACTGTCATCAGTCAGAAACTTTGCCAGCATCTCATCACGAGTCTTGCAGATGGCCGGTTGCTGCTGAATATTATCGTTTTGTTCCGCCATGGTGGTCCTCTTTCCAAGCAGATTACTAGATACAGTAGTCTAGCTAGCTAGGAATTGTCGAAGTTGTTCGCAGAAGGGATATATTTGTGCTCTTTTTGTCTTGTCCGCGATCGAGGCAACGCGTCGTCTGTCTGCCGTCCACGCGTGTGCGATGTGCGTCCGTTGCGGAAATGAGCGCGGCCTCTCATTTTTGAAGTTTGAAGGAGAGAGAGGGGAACCTCCCGAGTTGTTGTTATTGCATCTCTGTGCCCGGGAAACCAATAAGCTCATCTAGATCTATATCTTGATAGCTTTAGTTATTAGCTAGGTTGCCAGTTGCGGATAGAGAGAAGGGAGATTGATCTTATTATCCACACGAGGAAGGGGCGTCTTCCTCAGTTCTTTTTTCGAGTTCTGGTTTGGTGGGGGTAGCATACCGGTAGCACATCATCATGTCAACAACAGTGGATGAATTTGGACGTGTGATTCCGGCCAATGCGCCATTGTCATCGTCTCGAGAACGGGGTGCTCCTCGTCGTGAACGATCTCAGTCTCCACCTGCACGGTACAACAGTGGAGGACGAGGACGAGGGCGGAGTCGGTCCAACAAGTATCATCGCAGCAGCAGCGACCGAGATCATGATCGACACCACCATCGACGAGACAGCCGAGAAGACCGACGAGAGTGGCGCAAACGGCCTCGTTCTCCCAGCTCAGGTCCTTCGCAGCATTCGGATCATGGCTCTTCCTCTACTAGCAGAGCTTCTTCGCGACATCGACATCCCTCCTTTCGCTATGTCCAGGAGCACATGGTCTGCGAATACGTCTGGAAAACCAAAAATAAGGATAAAGATGACAACAACAACAATAAAAAGGGGGAAGAGGACAATGACAACAACAGCAATAGCAACAACAATAATAATACCACGGAAGAGGGCAAAGAATCCTATGACGAATATCGAAAGCGCTATTGCTTGAATTATGTGCGCTCCTTCTTCAATACCCACATGGACGACGCATGGTTCCGCAATCGATACTCTCCACTGGGAAGAAAGCGAGCTGTTCAAGCCGAACGTGGCCGTGCCAAGCAGGAAGCACAAGTCTTTTGCTCCCAAGTGGAATCCTCGGTCCAAGAAGAAACGGCTGAAGAGCGCTGTTCCTTTGTCAAGAATGCTCGTCTGGGAGGAGGCGTCAAAAAGTTAAATTCGGAACCGCCCATGCCCAAATCCCACAATATCTCGCTGGCCAATCCAGAAAATATCCTGCACATCACCGATATCCCTCCGCATGTCACGGACGAACAATTGACCCTGGCACTCATGGATCACTGCATGATACCTGCCGATGATCAAGCACAAGGATCCCCGGTGGACGCCTCTGAGGGCGGCTTCAAATTGGTGTCGGCATCGGTCAGTGCCGACAAGAATCCCAAGCAACCACTCTGGAGAGATGCTTACTTCATCTGCAGTGCCACGGTCAAACAGGATATTGTCACACATTTGGCCAAGGCCGAAGCAGATCAAGACTCGAATCCCACGGAAAAGAATAGCGAGAGCAACAACAACAACAATAATACAACCACCAAATCCGAGGAAGCTGCCGTCGTGGTACCCCGTAAACGGGATGATAAGGACGACAAGGCACGTTCCACGCTGCCATTGGATGTCGAGTGCTCCGATCCTTACGGGCGTCTCGAAGTCGATGCCGACGGCAAGGGCGGAGCACCCGACGATGGCATTGCCGTCCCACCACGAAAATCCACCGTCTGGGTCCATTCGCAGTACAAGGCACCACCTGTACTCGTCTTGTCGGCGGCCGTGTCCAGCAAGGAACGCTTTGGAAGAGACAAGGAAGCCGCCATTATGATGGCAAGAGCCTTGGATGTCGCCAAGGATATCCCCTCGGAACATCGATTGGATGAAGTATTGGATCGACTCTTTGGAGAAAACCGCAACGCGGAAGATGATCCCACTCTTGCGGAAGACACGCTCGATGTCACTATTGCCTACCTACGGCGCGTCCACCTATTTTCGTTTTACAATGGATGTACGTTTGCCGCCAATCTGGCGGATGTCTTGTCGGGACGACACCCCGCTGGTTCAGTGCATCTGCGATTGCACAATGCCGAAGAAATCTTGGCAGAAGACACTCCCGTACTGAACGCCCCAAAGGATCTTTTGGTGAGCCGACTGGATGATAGTATTGCCAAAGCCTTGGAGGAAACCAACGAATGGATCCAAAGCGGGGGTGGAACCATTGTCAACGAACGAGTGGACGAAGAGGCCGCCGAACTGGAGCAAGCCGAAGAGGAGTATTTAGACAAATGGTTGGAGAATCATGCCATTATCGATGACGATGGTCGAGCCAGATGCTCGTTTCATTTTTGCCACAAGCTGTTCAAAGACAAGAACTTTTTGCGAAAGCATTTGCAAAAGAAACACAAGGAGTTTCTTCGCGCAGAGCAGGCACAGTTGCATGACGAGTACATGATGAGAGCCTGGGACGAGGAGGATCAACGACCGGTGCCATCCGTTCTTGTGGATTGCGGAGCCATTTTCGATTTGGTCCCTAGTGCCGTTGTGGGTGCCGAACCAACCGCCGTAGACCCAGAGCCCGAGATGTGGCGAAAGGAAGAGGAACGGCGAAAACGTGAGGATGAGATGCAGAAAGAACGCGAGGAACGGCAACGACAGCGAGCGGAAGCGGAAAAAGAACGCCGCAATCAGCCACAACAAAGCAGTCCTCCCGGGGTCGACGAACGCAGAAACAGCAATTTTAAGAAACCCGAGAAGAACTTTGTGGACGTGGATGACATGAAAGAAGAAAAAGTGGAAATGTCCTTTGACAACGTTGACGTGCCTGTCCAGCCTCCCAAGAAGAAAAAGAAGAAGAAAAAACTGTTGTAAGAGCCTTGTCTGGGGACAAGTTGATTGTGGGAGAGAGTATGTTGTGAATAGTAATTTAATGGCACAGTGTGGTTTTCGTCGGCTATTGGCTCTACTCGTATTGGAGTATTGGTACTGGTACCGGTACCTCCTGCTCCACGGTGCACGAGTTGTTCGTCAGGTTCAACGGACCATCAAAATAATGGTTTTAAAAACTATCTTATGAAGAGGATTGCATACAACAACTCTTCTAAAGTTGCTCTTTTGTCAAGCATTTCCCCAAGTGGCAGGAATAATTTGTTGTCGTGTTTTGTCCGTTTTTAATCTCCCATTACGGTCCCAAGTCTTCTCTGCACAAACCCCAGCACAGTTTCTCTCGCATAGGGTATATAGCTCAGGCAGTACCACGTAATGCTGACATATTGCACTATCATCAAGAGCAACAAGATCAATCCTCTCGGTCCCGGAAACTCGACGAAAGCAACAAACAGTGTGAGGAACAGAGACCCGAGGTAGGCAATGGTCGCCCCTCGTCTTGTTTCTTTCCACATTCTCTCCAGTTGTGAGGTCGGACCACTCAAGAAGCAACTACCGCATAGCGCAATGATGTTCCCCACGGTGGCATTCAGGACAAATGGTACTTCAGTGATGTATGTGTTGATGATACGGTGAAAAACAAAAGAGATCACGAGCAGTATTTTTGGTGTGAGGATGGCGTGAGCCATTTTTCTCTTGGATGGATGAGAAAAGAACACTTACACGGATTCCCGAACATCAACTCTTTCAGTCGAAAGAAGGATCCAAAGGAAAGAATATAGCCAGCGACCATGCAGGTTCCACAGCCAATCAATCGTTCGGTCCATGTCAAAGTCGGCAAAATGCTGCACATGTCATCATCGGGTGTTGTTTCGTCCGCTTGGGCTTGCCGTTCTTCTATCGATTCCCGCGTCGGCAGCAGGCTGGCAAAATCCATGCTTTCAAACATTCCTGACATGATGGGGTCTGTATGTGGTTTCAGAGAAGTGGATTATTGAATTTGGCTAGGAAGATCCTGAGGGCAATCGAAGTGCCCTAGCGACGGAAGATACCGAGAAATGGGGAGATGGGGCCGGGTATTCGATTTCTTGGGTATCACTTCTTGTCGTTCTATCTCGCAAAGATTCCGAAATGACACCAACACAAAAGTCCTTCTGCACGGAGGCCCAGCAATGAAACAATACCAACTTCTCTCCAACTCTTCACAACCAAAGGCAAAAGCGGTAAGGGCGACGTATAAGAGTGCCATGGTCGCCAGATTCGATTCGTTCTCGGAATGAGTTGTTTCACGTTGGTGACGTCATGATGCTAAAGCACGGCTGAATCCCCGACTTACACCTCAGTCACAGAACCTTGGGCATTGTTTCTTGCATCCTTTCACATTGCTTGGTGGTGTCATCATAAGCTAGCAAATGCCCACAAACAACCACCAAAGACACCACCATGGGCAACAATAATTCATCCTCCATTTCTTCTTCTTCTTGGAGCCCGCGTGCTTGGTTGGGAAGTTCCATTCCCTGCTTGAAACCCAAAAGAGAGCACAAACTTTTAATCCATGGATTGGATTCTTCTGGAAAGACCACCTTGCTGTATCGTCTCAAGATGGGTGAGGTTGTGACAACCATACCCACCATTGGATTCAATGTAGAGACACTGAAATTCGAGGGCCGTGAATTTGTGGCCTGGGATGTTGGTGGACGGGACAAGATACGACCACTGATGAGGCATTACTATCCCGGGACCGATGGCGTCATTTTCATGGTGGATTCCAACGACGAGGATCGCATGCAACAGGCCAGGGACGAGTTTTACAGACTCGTTACTGATGAATTGATGGAAAACAAGCCTGTCCTGTTGCTTTGCAACAAGCAAGATCTGCCCAATGCGTGGTCCCCTGAACGGGTGGCCGCGTTCTTTGGAGTGGAAACAGCCAACAAAACTACAAGGATGGTCCATGTCCTTGGTTGTGTTGCCACAAAGGCAGAGAATGTCTGGGAAGGTTTGGAATGGTTGGCCATGGCCATTGAAAGTGATGGTGCTAAGGATGGCGAAGAATCAGACACCGAGGAAGAGCAACTCGAGGAGGAGACAGAGGACCTGGCCACCGTCGCTCACCCAGAGAAGCGGAAGCGGAGCCACGACCCAACAGCTCCTGCAAATCCCACCCTAAAGCACTTCCAACCAATCAAGCAGGGCACAATGTGTCCCTTTGCCAAAGCTGCCAAGCTTTGGGGTGGAATAAGCCAGAAACATACCTTGGATGCCAAAGAATTGGCCAGTTCGCATGCCGAGGCACTCACCAAGTTCGTCCGTTGTAGTGATAGTCAAAAGCTGGATGGATTTTGCATGGAGCTAGGAGATCCACGAGCACAAAGTGCAGACCCAGAAGATGTTGGAGCCTGCGTGAAGGAAATGTTAACCTTGCTGTCTGATCTAGACCCAGCCAAGGAACACGTGATGAGTGTCAACTACGTTGGCTCGCGGGGTTGGCGCTTCCGCTTTGATCAAATGGACTTCTTTGTGACAACCTTTGCTCCCTGTTATTCCAAGACCTCCAGTCGCTATGCGTTTGAAACCGGACGGGCCTTTATCCTGTTGCAGCCTGAAAGTTCGTTCCTGCGACATGAACTTCGGCATTCCTGCATAGATTCGTTTTTCGCCGGAGAACAAGTGGGTTCTTCCAATACAATTGACCGTCCAATGGTTTCTTCCGTGTCTTCATCGTCTCGTCGCTCGAGCCAATTTCTCGTCCTCAAAATCCCTTCTTTTCGTGTTCCAATTTCTTCAAAGAATCATTCGTTCTTGGTATCTGTTAGTAAATTCGTCCGAGTCGTCCTCTTCTGCTGCATCCAGTGGCGATTCCATGCTTTGTTCATCCTGAAAGTATCCACCAAGATTGCCTTCCTCCCAAACGTGATTCGCGAGTAGTTGATTGGATTCATCATCCATTTCTAGCTCTTCTCCCATCAGCATAACCATGGCATCACATCCAAAGGGAATGCTTGGTAGCTCTCTTTCCACTTGTATTCTGCGATGAATGTTGTTGCTGGTTTCTGCTGTCAATGTTCTCTGAGCTTGCGTGATACAATGCAACTCTGTAACTTCAAAAGACAAGGGATCCCACAATCCCTTGAGCTTTCGTGCTGTTTGCAGAGCAGCATCCGTAGTTGGAAATCGCCCCATGGGTATCAACGGTCGAAAGGGATCCTGTTCGTCGTCACCTTGCAGTAATTGTTGTTCCTCATCACTGTCATCATCAAAACCACCTGCCCACACGTTACGAGATCGGTTCTTCTCCATTAGTGCTTCCGCAGCTTGATGATCTCCAGCTAGTTCCAGACGTAGTAGCTCTCTGAGCATTGCAATTTTCTGGCTGCTTCGTTCATCTGGTTCCAAGGCAATAATGGCAGGTCCATTGAATTCGTCGACTGGTGGTTGCGGGGGTTCTGGTGTTGGCGGTGGTCTTTCTTCTTCCTCCTCTTCGGGTGCGGCAAGCAGTGCTGCAATGGTTCTTTCAAACGAATCATCGCCTAGTGTATTGTTACTGTTGTGTTGTTCCAGCTCTTTCAGGATACTTTTTTGTTTTCGTCTGAATTCTCGTAGCTTTTTTCGTTCTACTCCCACAGTTGCTTCCTCGGCTATGAGCTCTTGAATTTCCTCATCGTGCGGGTCGATTTGAATGGGAGAATCATCGTCTTCTAGTGACACATCTTCTTCTTCGTCTGTTGTGGATCGCAACGGCGACAAGTTTTCTGGAACGGGCATGACCGTCCATCGATTGAGTGTAATGGAAAAGGGTTGAATATTGTGGCGTTCGACTACTTTGGAAAGCACTTCCAATGCAAACTCGGACGACTGGTCGCGAGGACAAAAGGGATGAAACAACCGTATCGCGGGAGGCCATTGATGATATGCTTGATCTCCTGCAAAATGACGGGCTCGTTGCAGCGTATCCCAGCATTCATCGGGAGGAATGATACAGAGAGCTGATTGGTAGGATGTCAGTTCGATTGGTTCTTCTTTTTGGAGAAAGAGTGCCGTTGAGGGAGACTGTCTTGTTAGAAAGGATCTCAGCGGCCGTTGGCCTGTTGCAGGATGGAACGCTGTGGATTGCCACTGCCATTGTGGAGTGCCAAAGTTGCAGAACAAAACTGCAACGAATCCAAAAATAGAGGATGTTTTGGGTTTCTTCTTCTTCATTTTACAGCTCTTCTTCTTCTTACACCAGCGACCTGAATGACAGTGGGATCCTTACAACAATACCAAGCTAGCTAGCAAGTGTTTTGGGACCCCTTTACATATGGCTGTACCTGTAGTAGTCAAATGCTTTATTATTACTAGAAGACAGAATTCGGCAGAATTGGCGTCGTCTCAATGTTTTTGACTTGACTTTCACTCGACCGCTCTGCTTACGGAGGCAAAAAGCTAGTTTGGCAGCTTTGACGGCTTGAGGATCCACGATCCCTCGAGCATTCACATAATCCACAGATCGCAATTGAGCATCAACCTCCTCTGAAACCCATCCCACCATACCACGTCCCCTCTAACCCAAGTAACGACCTTCTCCGTTCACAACATCAACCTCCCTGTGCTACCGTATCTGTACAAACGAGGACCTAACGCTGTTATAATATTCGTTCGACAAAGGCAAGATGGAACCCGAACGCACCAGCGGACAAAGCAGCGGCGAGCAACAGCAACAGCGTGGATGGAGTCAGAAATCCAAGCAGTCTGGACCGGTGGAGTTTGGGCAAGCAGGAAAGCGGCAAAAGGTATCAATCGCCCATCAGAATGTTTTCTTAGGTAAGCTGTTTGGCGCCAGCTAGGTTCTGAGCATTTTTATTGTTTCGGAAGAATAACCTTTCTAATGGCACCCACTTTTTCCGTCTCAGCTTTCCCAGACGATTTTGACCTCAAGGATCTTTCCTAGCCAGGCTCAGATCAGTACACTGAAGTGATCCACAGGCAAAAGAATCCAGACAGGCCCGAATCAATCTACTTCTTATCGAAAATTATTGCTCTGATTGATTGTTTTGGGCGTCTTTACGATGACGGGGCTGGTTGCTAGTAGCTATCCCTGGAATGTCACTCGACGACTCGACTTGACTCTATTGAAATAGAAAAAGAACCCACTATAGCCAGCACGCTTGAGAGAAAACACGATACATTTCCATTTTCTTCTGTGTCATTTCTTCTGTGATTTGGTGTTGTCGTTTAGTCTGTGCTTTGAAGATTTTTTATCTTTTTGCAGAGGCAGAATTTCTGTCGAGCCTGTTGAATCCTTCAAATTTATTTGAGAGCCAATCAAGACGCAGTGACTGTACCGTAACCTGTCGTGCGGAGTAAGTGTATACGGTACAGAACCATACAGTACGGGCGTACCGGTATTTGTTGTGGCCCCGAAGAAGGGACACCCAACCCCTCATGTCTTTCGGCGCCATGATCAAAAGCGATCCAAAGTGCATCTCGTGCTGGCGATCCATAACTAAGCCTATGTAATTGATGGTCGTTTACTCTACTCTTGTCTTGACACTGTTTTGTCCAGCCACCATTGAACCACAGCAATGCCGTCATCCTTCAAGGGTTTGACAATGTGTTCTGCCGCGGGATAGTTTGTTGTGCGAGGAATGAAATATGGCTGCCCTGCTTTGTGAAAGGCCACCCTTGCCTTGTCACGAATAGTCTGGGGTTCCTCCCAATAGGCGTGGGGAGTGTCGACGG